GTTAACTCATGTCTCCTGGTGCTCTGTCAATATACAGTGGTTTCCCAGCAATCATTTCAACATGTCAAGTGTTAACACAGTAATAAATCTTTAATTGGCCTTACTTCATCTGCCTAACAGATAGCACCAAATGCCAATAGACTTGGGATAAAGTCACCGGAGCTGCAGCGAGCCGCGGTGCAGGACGATGTGGAGGGTGGTTTGCCGAGGCAGGGAGGTAGAGTGGGGCTCCTGAAAGAGTTGTTTCGAATTTACTGGGTGTTCAGCTACCACAGGGGCTGGCTCAGCTGAATGCCTTAGATGGTGTGTTTGCGTCCTGCCCCTTATGTGCTCTCCACAGAATCATGGACAGATCCTGACAGGTTCCATCATCCTCCATTTTTTATTGTGTGATGCGAGGGAGTTGACTCTCTCTTTTTTCTCCCCATGATTTTTCTTCCTTGTTTTAAGTTCTGTTTTTGCTTCTTATTTTCTGCCTGTTTGTAGCCACCATTTGAAAAAGTTTGTGTGTTTCTGCCATAGCTGGATATACATTATAACCCAATCTTCTGTCTGCCTCAACAGCTGTCTGTATGGTAAACATGAGCACACATACACACTCATCTGTACGGACTGTTTTACCGAGCAGCACGAAGTCTTACATATTTATGATTACAGCTGCAAACTTGAGAGTTATAACAGATGCTATTTTTTTTTCTTCCACTGTGAAGTCCACCATGGCCAGCAGGAAACATAGGCTAGAGTCTGGTGCCCTCTTGTGACTGCATTTAACTCCTGGAAAGACATCCCATAACTTAGAAAGGGTCAGGGCTTGAATTACACAGGAAAACACAAAGAAATTTATCCAAAACAAAAGCTGGAAGTATAGAAAAGGAGAATTAACCTCTCATTCTCATTTCTGAAATGAAACTTCTGCTGTGTGGTTCAGAATAGAGGCAGTAGACTCACAACCCATAGTTGACTGATGTGTTGAACATTTGAATGGTATGTTGCTTTCATGAAAGCTTTTCTTCATGCTAGTCAGTTAGACATATAATACTGAAGAGCAGACAAATCAGGATTATACATTATATTCTACATTATACATTATTATACATTATATACATCATGGAATAATATATCCAATCTACATTACTACATTTAAAAAACCATTTTCTCCAAATTATGGAGGTTTGAAGTCATTATGACCTGAAACTATAGTCCAGCCTGAGTTCCCTTGTATTTAATGTACTTTTTTTGTCCCTTTTGCATATTGCTGCAACCGGTCCTGAGTGTAGTTTGAGCCTTGTGTGTTTGTTATCTTTGGGATGCAACTATTACTGCAAGTGACACAGTTAAGTGCACCATTCCATTGAGAGCTATGGACTATCCATTTTCATAACCCTTATATTAGGAAAGATTTGACCAAAAGAATTAAAGGCAGACAGGAACTGTACATGCAGCTAAATGGAAAATGGGATTTTTTTTTTTTAATACCTTACCAAATGTCCTTTTTCCAACATATTGTCATCTCCTATAAATGTCAGATACACAATAATAAAAGCTACTTGTAGTGGGTAGTGTGAGCCCAGTTTCTTCAACTATATTTAAAAGAGGCAAAAACCAACCCCAAATGAATCAAACAGGTGAGTAGCCTGTTGCCTCAAGCATATCAGGCTCACACTGTCAGAGACCCATTCCAGAAATCTGGTGCTAAGAAAGTGCTTCCCAACCCACGAAAACTGTTCCAGGGAGGAAGAGCTTGAAAGGCAGTGTCCACATGGATAGATCTCAAAGTGCTGGGGATTTTAAAGATTAATACTGGTGGCCTACTGTGTACAGAAGTTGCAACAGCAGATGCTCTTAATGTGTTACTGTTTTCAGTTCTGTACCTGGAGAGGTACTGTGAGCCTTGTGAGCACTTGGCCTTGAGTGTTTCCAGTCTGGAAGACAGCTCTGGATCGGTATTGCTCTTACCTTTTGGAAGCAACAAAACACCTCCAAACACCAAAATATGCCAGTGAGGAAAAATTCCAGAGAAGTCCCGAAGGGTCTAGTGCCCATGTTACCAGAAGGAGACCCAAAGTTAAAATAAAATCTGCATTTTTTTTTTTCCTTCAGCCCCAGCATAAGTAGAAACAAATTAAATGCTTTGAATCTGACCCTGAAAGTGCTGACTCATTAGAATTTGTGCTTTAGTACCTTATATTTGCCTCCATGCCGTTCACTGCCCTGTTGCAGTGGGGTCTGAATATGCATACGACACACCTGCTCACTCTTTCTAGTATCTCCTGCAAGGGCTTGTATTTTAAACCGAGAAGACAGACAATGCTCAAGGGAAGAAGTGTCCCATTTTAGAGATGGGGAACTGTGATACAGACTGATGCATTTCTAAGTAGCTTTCTGAACAGCCAGGTATTTGCATACTTGTTCAGAACATCTGCGACTTTAGGTTTACCAGGCTTTTCAGGACTTTGTGTATCGTACAACATCCTTTTCCCACAGTATCTCTCTTCTTTTTGATTATTCATCTCCCTCAAGAAAATATTTCAAGACAGACCTTTGAACATACAGGGGATGCTCTGTGATCATGGGCTGAAATGTACGGGCCCTGTCACACGCTGAGGCTGCCAAAAAGAACGGATCATTTCATGGAGTACTGAGAAGGATTATTTTGAGGTTGCTTGTGTAGATGATACTCGTGACACTTTGTGAAATTCTTATCACATAGCTTATCATCTCTCCTCATCAGATTTTCTGTCTGTCTGCAAGGCTGGTTTTTGCTTTGTTATCTCTGAGCATTTCTTACAGGACAGAGTAAGAAAGTAGAACCCTAGAAGTTATCAGTGATCTGAGTTACAGCGATGAGACATAAAGAGTTTAGAGTCCTGCTCTTTCTTACCGATTGCTCATGATGGCAGCAACTAACATCTATTACCAGGATGTTAGTATTAGTCTAATCTGGGATAACAGATTTCTCTTTTTATGGTTCACATTGCTTTCACTTGAAGATCGTATGTCATGAGGCCGTTCTGCATCCCTGCTGCAAAGAGGGTATGAGAAGCGCCCTCTCCTGTGCAAAGGTTAATTGTGCAGACGAAAGAGGGAGTGCAGTGGGATGCAAACTGCCCCAGGAAGGACTGGAAGGGATGGAGAGCACTGTAGGTATCATATCCTTGTCTCTAGACACCAGTTGCAGAAGATGTGCTAGGACATCCATGCTGCCACCTGCATGCTTCCCTGCACACCAAAGAGGTTAAAAAAATGATTTCATCTCTTTAATGCAATCCCTGCATCCTTACTTGCTACCTTTAGTTTGTGCTCGTTTGAAAATAAGACAGATATCCCAACCTATGAGGCAAGTTTGGCACCATTTCACTATATAGAGGATGTTTCCTGAGAGACTTAATCCCATAGCATGACCTGTAGGAAGACAGCATACTCACTAAGGAAAGCTATTGGATTGTGGATGTTTTTGAAAGCCCAACTCGGAGTTAGGTTTCATCACTCACTAACCAACAGAAATTCGACATTGGGTTGTACATGATAGCAGGGATTAAATTGAACAAGCTACCAGGTCACTGACTGCAGATGAAACTTTGTCACGTATAGAGAGTCTGAGTTCATTCGTATCTGTTTTGTAGAACTGTCCTCTTGAAGCAAAATTTAATACTGAACATGAAAGCATTTCTTAGACAGGAATAGAGTTTTATAAATTAGTTACCCCAAACAATTACTTTAAAAATGCAGTCTTTAGAAATAACTTAAAATTGATGAATAAACAAACAAATCAGTTATATTGTCTGCAAAAACTAGTTTGGCCAGCTCTAGTTCATAGCCAGAAATTATTCACTTCATACTTCACAGTCATACTTGAAATAATCAGCAATCCATTTATCTCCCAGGTACATTATGAATGTCTGAAACACATGTAAAAATAAAATGATGTTTTATTTATTAAGTAGCCCACTCTTCTTTAAACCAAGTTATGGAAGTTATGCCTGAGTAAATACTGAATACAAAAGAGACTGAAATTTTCACATCTCATCCCCATTACAGTGATGAGTGACTTACCTGCTCTGAGCCATATGTGTGGAAATCTGTCTGTCTAAAGATCAGATTGGGAAGCATGGCCTAGGTTTGGTTCTGTACCCTCTCCAAGTCTTATAGCTTGAGTTGAAGAATTTGGGGGACAGATCCAAATAGCTGGACTGAGAACTGTAAATCTGATGCAAGTGAACCTTTCTTCCCAGCACGAAGCAGTCCTTGCAGGCTCACTGTTACTGTCCCTGCAGGAGGAAGGGATGGAAAGATCCACATAATCAATCCACCCTTCAGATCTGCTCTGACCTGAGCAGTGTCCTTTGCTGTTTCTCTAGCAAGTGTCCCAGTGCTGAAACCCTTTCTTTGCCTGTGTGTCACAGCCAGATAGTGTGTGATGACACAGATTGCATGCTTCAATTTATCAGATGAGAAACAGTCGGTTTATCTGATGGGCTATTTTAACAATGTGGAAATAAAGTCTCTTGATGTCCTCATTCAGATGTGAAACTGCTTTTCCATTTATTCAAAGAAGCCAGGATTTGCTGTTTTTCCATGTGGATGCATTGCTTGGTACCTGGCCCCTAATCCCTCCAGTAATCTGTCACAGAATATTTTATTTGGAAAGCACTCTCGAAATCATCTAAATCATCAAATTTAGATCAGGCTGCACGGGGCTTTGTCACCCCAAAGGATTTTATTTCAGAGTGCACCTGAACAAAGAAGCTCCAAGGATTTTAATTAAAAGAAGATGCATAACGATACAGTAATTCAGAACAGCATGTAAATTAGGCAAGGGAAAGA